GCTATGAAGTGATGTAACCATTTTGGAAAGCAGTTTGGAATTATGCCCAAGGAGTTTCTGGGTCAACAGTGACCCAGCAATATCACTGTTAGGCCTGTACCCAAAGAGATCAAAGAAAGAGAAAAAGGTCCTTTATATGCAAACATTTTTACAGCAGCTCTTTGTGGTGTCAAAACACTAGAAACTGGAGGGGTGGGGGAGATGGGGAATCCCTATACATTGGGAATTGATAAACAAATTGTGGTATTTGAAGGTAATAGAATATTCTTGTGCTGTAAGAAATGAAGAAAAGGATGGTTTCAAAAAAGATCTGGAAAGACTTCTATGAACTAATGCAGAGTAAAGTGAGCAAAACCAGAAGAACAATTTATAATCAACATTGCAAAAATGGGACAGTTATGAAAAACTTATAAATCAAATGATCAGCCATAATTCCAGAGAACTGATAAAAAACACTGACCAACTCATGACAGAGAGATGATGCACTAACATACAGAATAAGAAATGCATTGTGGATGTCGCCAATGTGGGATTTTGTTTCGCTTGTTTATGCTTATATGATACAGGAGTTCTGTATTTCTTTTTTTCTTTTTTAGTGGGTGGGGAAGGTGGGAGGAAAAAGAAAATGTTTGATAATTATAAATCTGACTTAAAAGAATTTTCTGTGTTTGAAAGGCCTTTCCCTATGTTACCTCTTTAGAGGTATGGGCCTATAGTGGTATCGCTGGGTCAAAGAGTCATACAATTTAATAACTTTTGGCATATAAATTCCAAATTGAGAATTGTTCTTATTTTTATTATAGATATAGATATGTAGGCCTAATATTCATGATATATAGAAAACTGACATGTATCAATTCAACATATCAACACGTCGATATGTTACAAATATATCAATATAGCACTTCTCTTTGTAACCTGGATATTAGGTCTTTATCAGAGAATCTTACTGCAAAAATTTTTCCCAATTAACTGTTTTTATTTCTGATCATTACTGATTTTGTTCATGTAAAAGCTTTTCAATTTGATGTAATCTAAATTTTCCATTTTATGTCTTGCAATCCTCTATATCCCTTGTTTGGTCAACTACTCTTCCCCTATGTGTATTTGTAAAAGATATCTCCTTTCCTGCTCCTCTAATTTTTTTATAGTGTGACCTTTGTTTTCTAGGTTATGCATCTATTTGGTGCTTATTGTAGTACATGCTGTGAGATGTTGGTTTAAACCTAATTTCTGCAAGGCAGTTTTCCAGTTTTTGCTGAACATTGTGTCCTTATCACCCTGGGATTTGGGATCTTTGAGTGTATTGAACACTGAGCAACTGTGTTCATTTGCTTCTGGATCTTGTGTACTCAGTCTGTTTCACTGATCAACTTTTCTGGTTTTTTACTGAGTTTTTGATGTCTTCTGCTATGTAATATGGTTTGAAATCTGGAATTGCTAGCCCCCCTTCCTTCCCACTTTTTAAAAATAATTTATTTTCTGTGAGATTCTTGACTTTTTGTTCCTCTATGTTTATTATATTGGTGAAGTTTCAGTAACACAGTCCATAAAGCTTCTGCAAGCTTAGATTAAATACTAGGTATTTGTATATCTGATTTTACAGAAGGTCCAGAAGTATTATTTGCCACATCAAAAATGCCATTTCCATAAGAATCTTCCTCTAGTGATAAATCCAATGATAAATCTTTCTCCAATAATATGAAAAGGCAGTTCTCAAGGGAAGAAACAAGCTATCTAGAGAAATTTTTTTTGATGGTCCAAATCACAAATAATGAAAGAAATGCAAACTAAAGCCACCCTGAAGTTTGATTTCATGCTCATCAAATTGGCAGAGATGACAAAAAGGAAAATAATGTCTGAGGGTTAAATAGGCACACAACGAATTCACTGTTGGTGAAGCTGTGAAATGGTCCAGCCATTGTGGAAAGCAGTTTGGAACTATGTTCAAAAGTTAGTGAGCATGCACTTTGGCCCAGATGTACCATTATTAGGCCTCTACCCCCAAAAAGATAAAGAAGAAAATGTATTCTTTGTACAAAAAAATATTTATAGCAGCTCTTTTTGTAGTGGCAAAAAACAAAAACAAACTCAGAAACTAAGTGGGAAGGGAACGGGGCGGGGAGGAGCTAAGGCAGTGCCCATGAGTTGGGCATTGGCTTGTATACAAGTTATGGTATATGAATGTAATAGAATATGGTTATGCCAAGCATTGTGTTAGGTGCTGGTGATAGACAAAAATGAAATTTTCTCAGGGGAGGCAATGTGCAATAGCCCAGTCAGCCACATCTTCATTTTTCTCCAGGATGCACTCTCAAATCCAGTGTTGTCTACTGTGCCATATTTCAAGCATTTAGCATGGTGCCTGGCACATAGTATGTGCTAAATAAATGCTTGTTGACTTGTTGGCTTGTCTTTGTTGACATGTACAAAATATATACAGGGTAATTTAGTTGGTATGAGCGCATTTTAGGCATAGTAGACAGCATGTGCAAAGACATTAGAATGGGAGATGGAATATTGTGTACAAGGAACATCAAGAAGGCCAGAAGAGTAAGCCTGCCGAGGGAGATTGCAGCCAGGTTGTGAATGACTCTAAATACTAGAGAGGTATGTATTTAACCCTTAGAATTAAGCAAGAGGGAGTCAAGGGAGTTTATTGAGTGGGGAAATGACATGGTTAGACCTGTGCTTTTGAAACATTTCTGTGGCACCTGTGTGGAGGATGGATACAAGAGGCAAGAGACTAAAGGCAGGAAAGCCAATTAGATTATTGCAGTAATCCAGAAGAGACTTGATGAGAGCCTGCCTTACTATGTGCAAGAACCTGTGGGAAGTGCTTAGTGTAATAAAAATATGAAATTAGTTACTACCCTAGAGATAATTGGTAGAATAGTAGTTCCAAATTTTCTGAGTATGAGGAATAGTTTTATGGATTCTTACATGATATTGGTTTTATGAGAGATCTTTAATGACAAAAAGCTGCTTTGAATTCAGGAAGTTAATGTGTATTGTATTAATCACAATGATACCTACAAAGAATGCCCCAGAAGTTTTAGCACCATCTTTTAAACTTTAGTAACCTAAAACTGCATTAAGAGTCTTGGGGCATTGTCTACTTTCTAAAATAGTGGTACAAGGCATATTTATTCACCTATCAAGAGATAAGTTCTCCAGTTTATTATATTGAGTTACCTAATGAGTTGAATACCTAACAGAGTTGAATACCTAACAGAATCTTTGTAACCACTTTAGGGCCAGTGACCCATAAGTTGGGTTCCCAACTTACTACCCTGCTTCCAGGGTAGTAAGAGAAAATAAGATTTGTGCACAAGTTTGTCATTTCTTAAATTTTGAAATAAACGTAATAGACAATAGTGTGTGAGCATAATGGGCATGGATAATACAAAGGGCTAGAGGAGTTTACAAAAAGAGAGATGGAACCCTTTTGGTTGATTGGGGTGAGGTGGGATGTTGTGGTATTTGGGGTAGGAGAAACACTATATATGAAAATTCCTTATACTTTTCCTCTGAATATTTCAAACATATTCCAAACTCAGCAAACAGCTGAAGAGACAATGGTGATTTTTGCTGTTGTAGAGATGCTATCCAGTGCTTTTGAGTTTCTGTTGCTTACTTTCTGAAAAGACAAAAGGAGGAGCATGTGATTAGGACATGAGAATAGGAGTCAGCATTCCTGGCTTCTAATCCTGGCTCTCTCATAGACTCTTTCTGGGGGACTGAGTAAATAGGGCTATTGGTTCATAATCTGCAGAATTTATGTAGTAGGTATCTCTACCTTTACCAATGCGGGTTGGCACCTTCTCTGCAACTTATAATCTTTAAGAGTTGCCTAACTCACTGAGAAGTTCTGGGGCTTGCCTAGGATCACAAGCCAGTAGTGTCAGATGTGGGACTTGAATCTTCCTGGCTCTGAGGCCAGCTCGATCCATTATACCAGAGCTGCCTTTCACAGGTTTAGTAGGGACAGTTAATATGTATTCTTTAGTTGCTGGTGCTGGAGCTCTTGGGACATGAGCTTTTTTCCAAATAATTGGGTGAATGCTAAGCCTGACCTTATGGTGAGGCCATAAAATAGGGATTGAACTTCATTACTAGTGAGCCTTTTGACTCAGGACAAGCATATTGTTCTCTTGTGGTCTACTTCCCTGTGTAGTCATATATGCATCCATGTATGCGTACATATACATACATATGTATCAGTGGAGGGGGGTTGAATCTTTTATAAAGGACTTTTAAAATAATTCTAAATACCATCTCTTAGTATTGCTATTAACACCTTAGGTATTTGGTGAAGTTTAACTCTCTTTCAGCCAACCAGCCTTTCTCACTTCCATGCTTGTGTGTCATTCAGTTAGGGAAGTTTTGTCTTTTAATCACAGGAAAATGAAGTAATCACTAAGTAGAAGTCAGTTACTCCCTGTATTTCACATGAACTGACTCACACCTTTTCATATGAAACCATGGAGTTTTGAGAGAGCCAGAAACTCAGAAACAGTTTCTTTACCAAGGGGGGGGGGGGAAGTGACATCATTTTTTCTGGGTTTGATTTGCAGTTGTGGAACCACAAACTGTAAAATTGCCTCTTGGCATTCCCGCTCCCCCCAATCATCTTAAATATTTTGTTACTTGGAATATCATGGACTTTAGAGACTTTGAGTGTGTGTGTAGCAGGGTGCTTGACTATTTACAGTATAAAACTTTTAAAGTGTTTAAATTAACTGGTTAAACATGGTTTATTCATCATGGGAAATTTTACAACTGTAGAAAGGTCACTATAGTCAGGATCTATAGAGAGCCCAAGGAATCATTCCTGAAGGTCTGCCTAGGATGAGAGAGACTCTTTAAGATGAATTTCTGTAGCAAGTAGGCTTTGAATTAAGAATGTGTGTTTGCACTTGGATTTCCAGCTCAAATATGCTTTCTTTGATGAACAAATTCTTGTAAGCTCAGTACCATCCCAGGTATCTGATTTCCAGGTATTAAGCCTCTTCATGTGTTAAGAATGGGTCATGTTCCCTAACAGAAGTGATCAGTCTACTTCACAATCCTGATGATCCTGTTTAGGGAGGATTGGAGAGAGCACAGGAGGGACTCAGAGGTAGGTGTCATAGGTGCTATTCCTAGACCTGCAGTTTATTTATTGTGTTCCTGTTATTTGGTGTAATGGAGTGTGAATTTGTTAAAGGAGACCTAGTTTAGTAAATCCTCTATTAGCTGAAATCTAACCAACTGGAGTCCTCTAATAACCAGATTTTTTTTTTCCACAGAACTCTGCTCTGTAGATACAGAAGCAGATACTGAGAACATAAACCCAAAGAAATTTTGCCCAACCTGCCATCATTTCCTCTCTTGCCCCCTAAAATTAAAGGTCCTGATGTGGCCTAATTCCTTAGGTCCACACACTTTCATTCCAGTCTCCTATATACAGAGTATTTAAAAAGAAAAATTAATGTTAAAGATAAAGGCCCTGTAGGAGCCTCAGTCATTAAAGAAAAATTCATGTGTGTTTGCTAATTATTAGGGCAAAAAAGTAAACTAATGTTAAGAAAAACTTTTTTGAAAGGGTTGTTATGCTTAAAAGATTAACTTTTCACCAACAAGAAAATTCAGTTATCCAGAACACCCAAGGCCTTAAGTATTGAAGTTAAAGGGGTTTTACTTTAAAGTGATCCACCAGAAAATGGATTTTGAGTACAGCTTTCAAACCAGCTGTTTCCCAAAGAGTTTAGGTTTCCAACATGGAAACATGGCTATCGTTGAGCAACCTCTTGACACTTTGTAGGCCAAACATAAAGTAAAAATGTTTGGGAAGTAACTGGTGTTCTTGATTTTCTAGTTCTGGGTAACTTTACCATGCAAATCTGTTTAGAAAGAGCAATTATTTCTAGACTAATTAAAGAGCTTGTGAAAAATGTGTGTCTGCCTGGCTGCCTACTTTCAAATTGAATTTTTACACAAAATTTTCCTTTTCTATTTTGGGGGTTCTGAAGATGACAGCAGCAACACGACAAGAAGTTCTCAACCTGTACCGAAGGATTTTCAGGCTTGCAAGGAGGTGGCATGCAGCATCAGGGCAGATGGAAGACACCATCAGAGAAAAGCAGTACATTATAAATGAAGCCAGAATGTTGTTCCAGAAAAACAAAAATGTAAGTGGGATCCATTGATATTTCTCAAGGAACTAAGCAGTTCTTGTAGTGTTTTCTTCATGTCTTTTTATTCCTGAAAATAATGAGGAGGAGGAGGAGGAATTCATATTCCAGGATTTGGGTGTGGGAGAGGGGGGAAGAGGTCAGGCCAAAGTTGTAGCTTCAGCTGCTGTTTTGTTGTTCAGTCATTTTTCAGTCTTGTCCAACTCTTTGTGACCCCATTTGGGGTTTTCTAGGCAAAGGTACTGAAGTGGTTTGCCATCTCTTTCTCCAACTCATTTTATAGATGAGGAAACTGAGGCAAACAGGGTTAAGTGACTTGTCCGGGATCACACAGCTAGTAAGTGTCTAAAGCCAGATTTGAACTCAGAAAGATGAGTCTTCCTGGCTCTAGGCCCAGCACTCTATTCACTATGCCACCTAGCTGCCCTCAGCTCTGGTAGAAATGGACTTTTGGTAGGACTTGGGTTATAAATTGCCTGATGTGGCTTCTGTAGGGAAGAACTGACATCACTCTTTACTTTTTCTAGCATTTCAGGGCACTATTGGTGAGTCACACACCTCCTCGGAATAACTCCCTGTGTCCTATCTTCAGGCAAGTCAATTTTTAGTGGAACTCATCTACCTTATAAGGGTAGGGACTATGACCTTAAATTCTTTGAATCTTCCACCCCTCAGCACTTAGCATGTAGGTAGTTCATGAAGGATTATTGAATGAATGAACTGTAAAACTCTACCAATAGTCCCAATCAGGTGTGGGTAGGAGAGAGAGCACAGGATTAGAACAAGGGTTAAAGCTTGGGCAATCTTCATAAAGTACATTTCAAACTGACTCGGTCTTTACCAGTCTACCCAGACAGGCACCGAGCAAGCCCTCAGGACTCACCTCCAAAAGGCTTGATTTCATTTATTCTTTCAAAAATGATTAGATGTATATTATGTTAGGCACTGTGCTAAACATTAGATGTTGAAGATACAAAGACAAAACCAATACCATGCCAGCCCTCGAGGAACAGTGTTTATTTCTTGGGGAAGGGACTCTACAAGAGATACATACATAGAAAGGGACAGGCAAAATATATACAAAATAGCTTCCAAGGGGAAGGACATTAGCTAATTGGAGATCAGAATTAGTTTCCTGTGGGAGGTGGCGTTTGATCTGAGCTTTGAAGAAAATAAGGCAGATTGAAGAGGAAGTAGTGTACCACAGGCAGGGGGACCAGATGTATGAAGGCGTGCGTACAGGAGTGGGCAGGTGTATTGATAGCAACAAGTAAGTCTGTGACAAGAACATAGAATGCATAAAGGAGTGTAGCATTGAGTAAACGTGGAAAGATTGGTTGAAGCTACATTGTAAAGAGCTTTAAACACTAAAGAGGTTAATGTATTTTACTCTAAAGGAGAGGGAGAGCCTCTGCAGTTTCTTGAGCAGCAGAGTGACATAATCAGACCTTTTCTTTAAGGATATCCATTTGACAATGAGAGGTTGAAGAAGGGAAGAGGCTGGAATAAGGAAAACCAATTAGGAGGCTGTTGGATTAGTCTAGGTGGTAACTAGAGTGGTAGAGAGAAAGGAACACATACAAGAGATATCGTAGAAATACAATCAACAAGGCTTGGCAACTAATTGGATAGTGGGGATAAGAGAGAGGGAAGAGTGGAGGATGACTTTGAAGTTGCAAACCCAGGTGACTGGAAGGATGGTAGTGTCCTTGGCAGAAATAGAAACATTAAGAAAAAGGGGAAGAGTTTAGAGGAAAAGAAAATGAGTCTGTCTGTTTTGACTTGCCGAATTTGAAATATATATAGACATCCAGATTGAAGGGTCCAGATTGGTTGTTGGTGACATAGGTTTGAATGTATGGATATGGACATTTTCTACGTGATAGCCGAACCTGTGGGAGCCTATGAAATCAAAAAAGAGAGAGAAAAAGAACCCTTGGATATACCCACACTTGGTGGGTTGTTACATGAATGATAATCCTGCAAAGAAGATGGAGAAGGATGGTCAGGTAGTAGAGAGAGCCAGAAAAGAGCACTGTCATGAAAACACAGAGAGGAAAGAGTATCCTAGAGAGAGAGGGTAATTCTCAGCATCCCATGCTGAGAAATTTGTGAGAAGCCATTAGATTAAACAATTAGATCATTGGTGACCTTAGAGAGAACAGTTTCACAGGATCATAGTACTGAAAGGGACCTCAACAGCATCTAACCCAGACCTCTCATTTTGTGACCCAGCAAGGTTGAGTGATTTGCCCAGAGTCACAGAAATAGTAAAATGACAGAGTCAATATTTGAACCCATGTCCTCTGACTCCAACTCCAGTGCCCTTTTCTGCTGCACAGTGTAACCAAGTAAGGAGGTTTAAAGACAGATTGTAAGAGTAGAAGTGAGATGAGAAAGTAAAAACAATGAATGTAGGCAGCTCTTTCTAGAAATTTGGTTGTGAGAGGGAGGAGAAAAAAAGGAAAGAGTTGAGGGGATGGTAGTATCAAATTAAAATTTTTTGGACAGTTGAGCATGTTTATAAGCAATAGGGAAGGAGCAAGTAGATAAAGAGAGATATGAAAATTAAAAAGAGAAATCACAATAGAAATACAAATCAGAACAATTCTGAATTTTAACTTCACACTTAGCAAATTAGTGAAGTGGACAAAAGATGAAAATTATTGATGTTGGAAGGAAGACAGGCATACTGATATCCCCTTGGTAGAGTTGTGAAGTGGTCCAGCCATTCAGAGAAACATAACAAAAGTTGTATGAATTGATGCACAGTGAAATGGGCAGAACCAGGAAAATATGTCATATACAATGATTACACCAGTGTGAAAAGAATAAAATGAAACTGAATGATACATAATTATAATGACCAAGCTTAGTCCTGGAGAAGAGTTAAAAAATATACCTCTCTCCTTCACTTCATTGCAGAGGTGGGAATTCCATACCATCACTGTGTATTTTTGGCTTTACCGACTGCTTTTTTTTCCTTTTAAAATATTTTTGTTACAAGAGATGACTTTTTGGATTATGATTATCTATGTGTGTATTATGTCCCTTACTAACCAATTAGCCCCAGCAGGGCAGAGGCCATGTGTTATCTAAACTTTATGTTCCCCTGGCACTTACACAGTGTGCCCTGTACCTGTTTGTTTAATCAGTGTTGGCAGAACTGGATTAAAATATTGATTTAATTGGAACTTTCTCTACTGCCTCTCGGATAGATTCCATGTTCCTTAAACTGACATCCAAGGCACACCGTCATCTGCTTACCAATCTCTTACTACTTCACAGTAAACCTATTGTTTCTTTCTGTTTTATCACTGTCCCACGTACTGCTCTCCTGTTAGATCATATAAATGACCTGTCCTTACCTTTGTTCATGCTTCTCTCAAAGTTTACAATGCCTTACTTTTTCTCTGTCTGTAAATTCTATCATTCTTTCAAAACCCTACTCAAATAGCACCTTCCCCATGGCACAGTTAGCCGTAGAGTCACAGAACATGAGAATTGTAAAGGACCAGAGAGAGGCCCTCTGGTCCAACCATACCTGAAAAAAGAATCCTTTCTCCTATATACCAAATAGACATATCCAGCCTTTGCTTTAAAAGATCTAAAGTGAAGGGGAACATAATACATCCCAAGATAGCCCATTCTGTTTATGAATAGCTATTTAAATATTAAGAAGTTTTTCCATACAATAAGCCTGAAATTAAATTTGGACTCTTAGAGTTTGCACCTGCTGTTCTTGGTCTGCCTTTTGGGGCCAAATAGAAGTCTAATCTATCTTCTATTTTATAACCCTTCAATTACTTGGAATCAGCTCACATTCCTCGCCCTCATCTACCCACTCCTCCCCCCCCCCCCCCCCCCCCCCCCCCCCCCCCCCCCCGGTCTTCTCGTCTTCAGGCTATAGTCTTTAGTTATTTCCTTCAGTCAATCAGTAAGCAATTGTTCAGTCTGGAAGCACTTATTAAACATCTACAGTGTGCCAGGAATACAGAGTAAAGCAGAAATCCCTGCCCTTGAAGGGCTCACAGTCTAACAAGGAAGACAACATGCAAACAAATATGTTGTTGTTCACTTGTTTCAGTCATGACCAATTCTTCATGACCCCATTTGAGATTTTCTTGGCAAAGCTATTGGAGTAGTTTGCCATTTCCTTTTCCAGCACATTTTACAGATGAGGAAACTGAAGCAAACAAGGTTAAGTGACTTTGCCAGGATCACACAGCTAGTAAGTATCTGCAGCCCAATTTGAACTCAAGAAGATGTCTTTCTAACTCAAGGCCCAGCACTCTATTCACTATGTCACCTAGCTGCCCTAAACAAATGTGTACAGATAAGCTATATGCAGGATAAATAGGAAATAATCACCAGAAGGAAGGTATTAGAATTAAGAAGGATAGGGAAACATCTTGTAGAAGGTGAGATTTTAGCTGGGATTTCAGGAAAGCCAGGAGGTAAAGATGAGCACATAACAGCATTCTAGGCATGGGAGACAGCTAGTGAACATCCCCAGAACTGAGAATTAGAATGTCTTGTTTGTCTTGTTCAAGTAATAGCAAGGAGAGGCCAGTGTCACTGGATCTCAGAGCACCTGGGCCAGTGAGGAGTGGTGTAATAAAAAGCCTGCATGTGGAGGAGGAGACTAAGTTATGAAAGATTTTATATTTGTTTTTGAAGGTGATAGGGAGCCACTTGAGTTTGTTGAGTAGGGGGGTGACTTGGTCAGATCTGCACTGTAGGAATATCACTTTGGTGGCTGAGTGAAATATGGACTGGAGTTGGGAGAGGTTTGTGATAGGCAGACCAACCGGTTAGGTTATTATCTCTCAGGCATAAGGAGGTGAGGGCGTGTACCAGAATGGTGGTAGTATCAAAGGAAACAAAGGGGTATATTCAAAAGATGCTGCAAAGGTGAAATAGATAGGTCATGGTAACTGATTGACTATGAGAGGTAAAAGATAGTGAGGAGTCATGATGACACCCAAGTTGTGAGC